CATAAAGAAAAGATGCCTTCCTGAACCTCTGCACTTCTAGAGGAACCACTTCTAGAGCTGGGATAATAATAGAAAAGGGTAAGGAGAAATGACAGGGCATCATCCAAGCTGTGGAAATTGCCTAATTTCACTTTCATTTATTTTAATGTAAGGCATATTAGACCAGAAGGAAAGGATACAAAGCAAAGCTCTTCTGCAGGCTGTCAGATGGAAGTGTAGCCTCCAACCCACGCTCATGCTTGGGCTATCCTTGCCAGAGAAAAGCCAGGACAAGTCAGTTTGGGTGAACATCCTTCAGCTTGTCCACAGTGCCAGCAAACCCGCCCGCCTGGGCTGTCTCAGGGAAGAAAACGAGCTCCTTGTGTCCTGACAGCAGCCACAGACATGGCTGAATCGGTAACTATCAACAGGTTGTCTGAAAACAGCAGTAGTATGTGTGGGGGAATAAATACACAAATACTGGAGAAGCAGCAGACTATTTCGGCAATTAATTATAGACTTCTACATCCTGGCAGGGTGGAATTTTATGAGGCACATAAAAAATGGGATGTATTTAAGAACAGCCCAGATTTATTCTTTTCATTGATTCTGCATGCTGATTTTGAAAATGCATGGATTAAATCAGAATGAAAAGGTGCCTGCACGATTGTCTTCTGCACGTACCAAAAATTAATTCCCCTCAGTAAGAGGCAGAGTTTCCAGTTCAAGGCTTCATTTGCATTATACACACTTTTTATTAATAGTGCAGATAAAGAAATCATTCTGAATATAAGACACCAGGATCTGACAAGAGCCACTGGGATCAATGAAGAGGATTCATTGCACTGAGTGATCTGGATCACAGTTTAAGCACGACAGGGAGATACAATATCGACTTGAGCTGGTCCAACTTCATCCATCCAGGAATAAATACAGCAAGCTAAAGTGAAAGGGTGGAAAATACTGTCCTGGGCTGTGACAACTCTCACATGCCTGACTGGGTAACAAGCTGTATGGGGAGATCCCAGGGTGCCAACTGCAAGTGTTAATGAGCTATGTAAACAAGGAACACGAGTCAAATCAGAGGTGTTACTACACCTGATTAGTCTCTGGTCCAGCTGGTACTGAACCAGTGTTCAGGTTGGTTTTCCACAGTGAAAAAAAGGAATTTTGACAATAGTGAAACAAGTACAGGGCTCTGGGCTCCATCTGTTAAATGTATTAAAGGAATGATAGCACAGGTCTCTTCACTGTATTTGACAAAGATTTTGCAAAATCCCTGGTAACTAGAAAACACAGGCTGAAACTAAAATGGAGATCTCTGCCAGAGATGGCAATTAGCTAGTGGAACAAGGCTATAAAATCCGTGATGGATTCTCCAGATGGAGATTGTTATACTCACCAGGACTGAATGTTTCACAAACTGGAATTAATTCATGGAATCGTGCAAAAAACTAAATTAGATTAGTTCCAAGCCCTTTTACCTAACAAGCTGTGACTTTCTGAACCTACACCTAAGAAAAGTTAGCAAAGACACCATTCAATAATGGCTGCACATCTAGGAAAGGAAACCTTTTCTAAAGATTATTATACTTGGCTAACTTAAAGCATTCAGAAGTTGTGAGTCAGGGCCCCAAGCATCAAGCAACTGGCTTAAAAATACTGACATTTTAAAAGTAAAAAATACTGGTTCATTTTTATTTGCCTTCTAGTTGTTTTGTCCTTTAAGATTCAAGGTTCAAATTCTGGTCTGCAACTGTGATGTCCATAAAACAGAAGTCACTAAATCTAATTTATAAAAATGCTGAGACTACAACATCATATTACTCTAGGATTTCTTCAGTACAACACCAAGTAATAATCTTGAAATTTACAATAAATTTCAAGATTTCACCCCAATGATTATAAAGGCAATGTCTCCTTTAAAACCAGTCATGTGCAAAAAAAAAGTCAAACCAAAAAAAGAAATTAAGCAGCAGCTACAGTTACTCCATAATCCTTCAACAGCTCCTGGCCAGCATTAGTCCATTTCCAGCCACATTTCCCTTGTCAAAGAAGGACAGTGGGGAAGTGGGGGTTCAGTGGCCCTTTAAGTCTTTTCCATCCCTGGTACCTTTATCTGGATCAATGCTTTATCTGAGTGAGTGCTTTATCTGGATCAATGCTCTCTGTGTTTCTCCTATTTTGTGGAACACAGAAGACACTCACATGGTCACTGTCCAGAGGATGAACCTGCACTGATGGATGGACTGGGGAACTCGTATGACCAAGACAGGGAAGGAGATGCTTGGGTTCATGAGATTCCCATCTGACCATAAGCAAAGTTCTGTTTCCATCAGCTTCTTTCCCAGACACTCCTGATGAGATGAAAGCTCAAATTCCTTACCTCACTTGTTCCTGTAACAAAAAAACCAGCCTCTCCAAACCCTACCCCTACTGTTAATTAACCTTATGAAACCAGGCATCCCCTATCTCAGCCTCTTCTGTCACAGTCCAACATCCCAGCCAGATGCCTGGCAGTGAGCATCCCCAGAGCCCAGGTAAGGGGAGAAGCAGTGATCAGGTGCAGGGTTCACAGGAAGGTTTATGCTTGGGAACAACCCAGGAGTGTAACACAGCACTCCCCCTGCACTCAACTCCTCCAGGAGGGCTCAGACAGTGACTGCTGCCCAGGCAAATCCTCTAGTAAAGACAGGGCTGACTGACATTCCTGAACAGGTAACCAGCCTTTGTCCTCTCCAAAGACTGAAATACTTGGCATAGAGACCACTTTATGAAATTGCATTTTAAGCAGCGCAGACATGGGCAAGCCCATCCTGTCATGCATCCCAAGATGCATGCAAGGATGCATTGGAGCACAGCTGCTGAGATAGAGAAATGACAAGTGATGAATAAACATACAGGGACTAAAGTCACCTCCAAAATGCTTTTGTCAACCAAATCTTCCTGGGTGACAGGACCATACAGGACCTGGGACCAGTTATAAACTGGGATAAGCACAGAATAAACTAAGTGAGTTTATTTCCTGGTTTTTAGTGACAGTAGTTCATAATAACTGAGAAAAGGTAATGAATATTTCAGTGTGCCGAAGGAAAGTGAAAAGTTGACATCCTTGTGTTAAAAAATACAGAGAAGCCTGAGATGAGGATGAAGACCACCACTTTGCTGAGACCCAGAGGCTCACTGTCTGACATCTGAAAATAGTCAGATATTCCCCCATTCACTGACAGAAAACCTCCCCAAAATCCAGGCAGCATATGAAGGAAGCCAAGAAGGACCTGAAAATGACCACCTGTACATAAGGATCCAGAACTGCCTTACATAAAGCTCAACACCATACACCTTAGAGCAAACCCTGATTTGGTGAAACAAGCCCAGCCACGCCAACCCCCTAACCTACATCTGAAAGTTTGCTGGCATAGCCAGGGATAGCAGACTGACAAGTATTAAGGCCCTTGCTGAGTTGCAAGAAAGATACCACTGAAGATTTTTTTAGTAAGTGTGCAAAACTTGGCTCTGCTCTGCTCTGTCACACTGCCAGTCCTCTGCTGCACAGAACATCCCTTCCCCTGGTGCCCCAGGACCTGACAAGAGGGAGATTTCTCCAGCACCATGCAAAGAAAGCACACAGGGGTAGTAGACATCCTCTCTGCAGTGTGATTTGGGGGTGAACGGTGCTGCCTTGCCAGGAATGAGCAGTGACCACCATCATGAGCCAGTGGATTTCTCCCCACAGCTGCTGGGGCGATCCAGACTCTGCTGAGGACTGGCATGGAAATCTGCACTGAATCAAGGAGGTTTCTCAGCATTAACCTTGCTGATCAGGCAACTGGGAAAAGCTTTGGAAGTGGCCCCCAAGGGTTTTCTACTTGACTCCACTGATGTTCCCAGTTAGCTGAAGCAGTGCATGCAACACCCAGCTCCACTCACTTGCACAGACTCAGAACACTCTGTGGCTATTGAACCAGCATTTTCCAAGAGTGATAAAAATACCCAAACCAGCTCCTTTTCTATGGGGATGAATCTGCTTGGTGCTGGAGATGCTTGTTAGCATCACAAACAACTGCAGGAAAGCATGGCCTCAGTTGTCCTCACATCTCCATAGGTCTTTCTTTGCACAAACAGGCATTTTTGCTGAGGTCTTAAAAATACCATCTTACTCTGAAAAAGTTGCATAAACTTTGCACAATGGCCATACATGTATCTCTAGAAGGATTCAGTGCAGGCCCGCCGCTTGTCACAGCCACCTTGCCTCTGCCACTGAAACTACACTTTGAGTCTCTACCTGTCTCAACACAAAACCCATCTTTGCTGCAAACATGGAAAAGCAGAGCACTCCCTCCTGCATTTCATGCCTTACACATTTTGGACAGAAAGAGCCAGGTCGGTTGCACCTCTTTGTCTTTGTGCTGTGGTAAAATAACTGTGCAACTTAAAGTGATGCCAACAAAACCTCTGTGGATTCTCAGATCAGTAAAGACCCAATGAGGCAGCATGCAACATGGAAACTGCTCACATTCACACCAAACAATGTCAGACTTCCAAACCCAACAAAATAACTGTCTGAGAGGTCAAAGAGACAGGGATGACACAGACAAACACTTGCATTGAAGTACAACAGGAAAAAGAGCCCTTAACACACCATCTCATCTCTGAAGGCAGGACCTGCACCACTGGCAGGGCTCAGTGCACAGCCAGCAAGCATTGGATTATTTTTAATGCGCTTGGAATAAACCTGTGCTCATAGGGAGGCCTGGCATGAGGGGCTCAGTACCGTGAAAGCCCCACGTGAGTACTGTGGGGAGATGGAAGTAGCACATAGTGGAACATGAGCTTTATAGAGTCCTCTGGGAGATGCAGGTGCCTCCACCAGCCGGGCCTGCCATCCCAGCCACAGGATGTTATGTCCCCACCGTGTCCTGGAGCTACAGCTCACTCTGGCCCGTGTCTCCACAAGACCCAAGCCCCACAGACACCCGGGCAGGACCAAGTGATCCTGCAGGCTCCCCAATGGCCATTACCTGCTGAGCCCGTACTCTGGGGGCGGCTGGTAGCGCACGAGGGCCATCTCTGCCCGGGCGGGCTGGGGGGCGGCGTAGGCGGCCTTGAGGACATCTTGTGACGATTGCTCACCGTAGAAGAGCCCATGCTCCTGCGCCTTGCTGCCTGGGGCTGCTGCCTTGCCTTTGTAAGGGTACTCGGGAGGCGGGCCCCGTGGGTCCGCGGCCTTGCTGGGTTGTGGGGCTGCCTTGAAACCCTTCCCACCTCCTGGGGCTGGGGGGTGCTGCTTGGCCCCGTTCCTCTCCAGAGAGAGCTGCATGATCCTCTCGCTCAGCGAGCGGACGTGGCCCTGCTTCAGCTCCTTCAGCGCCTCATCCTTATGCGCCTGCCCGCTGTTGGCCCGGTTCACCGTAGGCCTCCCCTCCGTCCTGGACTTTTGGCTGGAGGAGCCATAAAAACCCGGTGTGGCGGCGGTGGCTGGTGGTGCGGGCTGGCCACGGAAAAACTGGGATTGAGCCTTGGCCTCCTCGTAGGTGGGGAGCTCCTCGGTGCTGTGCGGGGGCTGCGGGGCCCGAGGCTGCTTCTCCATGGCAGCACCGTCCCCCTGGTGCTCCTGCCCCTGTGGTTCCTGCCGCCCTGACGGCTGGACCATTGGCAGGTCTTCGGGAGCAAGGTTTTCTGCGGAAGAGAGAGTGCTGGCAGTGCTGTTGGAGGGGCCGGCGCTGCCCGTCGCCTGGTGCTGGATGGCCAGCAGGTTCATGTTCTCGCTGGGGTTGCCATACCTCAGCCGCTCCTGGATCAGGCGCTGCAGGACGGTGCCGGCTGCCACCTCCTCCGCCCCTCGCATCTCCGCCTCTGGCACACGGCGGAAGCTGGGCGGGTGCAGGGTGCAGAGCGTCTCCTCGGCTGGGCAGGGAGAGAAAGGCACCCATTAGCTCTGCTGTCCAGGAGCTCTAATTCCCCCTGCTGTTTCTTCTCTTCCTACATCCCACAACGGTGACCCCGTGCCCAGGATGCACCCCCATGGACAGTGTTCTGCCAGGATTCCCCTGGCAGTACAGGGGATGTGGCTGGAAGCCAACAAAGGAGGCAGAGCACTGCTCCCTGCTCATCCTCCACCCCTACACCTTAATTCTGTTTGGCAGTGACCCCTAGGAACACATTCCAGTCCCCTCCCTGGCCTTTCCCTCCATAATATTCCATGCGTCCAGTGCCCACAGCTCTGAACCTCCCTCTAAGTCAACAAGGGACATTCCATGTCACAGGGAAATTTGGTATTTTCTAACATGGATAGGATAGGATAGGATAGGATAGGATAGGATAGGATAGGATAGGATCGGATCCTACAATGGTTATCTCATCCCACTGCTTGGTCAATTCAATGCCCACAATAAGATAAAGCATTTTATTAAGGCCTTGTCCAAATACCTCTTTAAACACTGACAGGCTTGGGGCATTCACCACCTCTCTAGGAAGCCTCTTTCAGTGTTTGACCTCTCCCTGGAGATGACTTGTACAACTTACAGAGGCAGCCTGCAGGGTAACACTAACTGCTGTATTTTTGATGGCCAAAGGTGTAAGAGAACTGTGTGCCATGACAAAATAAAATATAAGATGTGTCACAGAAAAACTGTGAAATGGAACTGAAAATGAAATGGTCCTAAAGGTCAGAGAATAATCTGTGCTCTGGCTCTTCCTCTAAAATGGCAATTTCCCTTCTGGATGAAAACACTATTTCTAAGGGAGTCAATAATAATTGTTGCAATTTTGCAAGGAAGGCCTTATGGTTATAGATGCAATGCCAGCATTTAAAAAAAAAAAAGCACAGACAAATTAGCTACACAACCCTAACACAGGCTACTGAAGTCATTCAGAGTCAATGGCACCATGTTTGCGCTACATATGCAGTGGAGCTTGCCTGGAGCTAAGCATCTAGAAGTATTTGGACAAAGCTCTCAGGCACATGGTGTGATTCTTGGGGTGTCCTGTGTAGGGCCAAGAGTTGGATTTGATGATCCCAATGGGTCCCTTTCAACTCAGCATATTCTATGATTTAACCATGGCTGAGACTTCTGGAATCTCTCCCTCCCGGCGCCCTCCTTCCATCCCAAAAGTGCTGTAAGATGTCTATCTGAACACTGTCTGAGCTCAGACAAATGCTTCTAAAAGACTCAGAGGGTCTGTCAGCTCCTGGGGATAGTGTTTGAGGCAGGAAGATGCACAGACACACAGTGCATCTCCATCTACCTGTCTGCTCAACAGTCAAGTATCCAGCTGCTTTAAATGTCCCTGCAGTTACAGCAAAGTCTTGCTGCTTTGTTCATGTTATCACAGCACACAGAAGCCTCATCACACTGGACATTTTCACAGACAAGCTATAATGTCTCCCTAACACACCAGAAATCTTACTGTCTAGGTTGTTAGACAATGCCTGAGAAAAGCCTGAGGAAAGGGGATAAAGCCAAGATCACACAGTCAAGGCAGTTTTTTATAATACATCAGGATTTCCACTTCTGTGCTAGTCATGTTACCATCCCTTTATCTGAGAGGTGTACTTTAAATTGCCTATAATTGAAGTCCAGAAAGATTGACCACAGTGAGCTTTCCACAGTGCCTATGGTCTTGCTCAATCAGCAAAAGAGCCATAGAAACTGGTCCAGCTGTGCACTGAAAAGCAACCATGTCCTGAAGGACAAGTGGAAATGATGCATCCTCCACAAATACAGGTGATAAGTGATGGTGGGTCACAATACACTAGTCAAAGGTAACTTTGACTCTACCAAGAATGAGAAACTGGCCTTCAACTCTCTAAATATTACTTGTAAATGGTTTAATGCTCAATTTATACTTTGGGAAAAACCTGGAAGTAAATGCAGTGTGTTCATACAGAAGCGTGGTCGTGCACTTACCAGCTTTTTCTTTGGCACTGATCACTTCAGCCGTTAGCGGGGACACTTCATGCCTGCCAGCAAACAACTGATCCTGGTAGAGAAAGCCAGAGTCTTCCAGTACCTGGACTGGGCTGGTAGGCTTGTAACAAACAGATGTGGAGCCTGTAAGAAAGAAGAGCAGAATGCCAGTAAAGAAACCGCATGAATGACAAAATGTGAAGCCATGAAAGTAGTCCAAAAAACTTTCTTGAGCATGGCTGGGTGCTGAGAAGCCCTTCTGAGGCCAGTGAGGAAACCAATTCTTCAGTCTGCACTTCCCAAATAACAAATTAGCTCTGGGGAACAAGAGGCAAAACACAGAGTCATCAGTGCTGTTTGATGCATTGACCCAGCCTGGCCTACAAGGTGCTCAGTCCAGGTAAAAAGAAAGGTTTGTAGGAGCAAACAGTGAAAAGTCACAGGCTCACAAATCAAGGCATAGCCCCAGGACATGAAATCAACAGAGTCATAGTAAAACTGAACAAGGGAGTGTGTAAAAAGAAGGAAAGGTGAGGACACGGCCACGCATTAAATAGGACTATAGTCTGGGAAAGGTCTTACCACAAAATCTGCTCATGAGTAATAGTCCAGCAATACAGAAAATTGCTGAGACAGAAAATACAACCAGTGCTATCAAGGGAGAGAGTTTATAAATCACTTTGTCCAGATGTTCTTAATACAGTATGGAGCGGATGTAGCTGGAGGCCATGGGAATTTGTGCTGCAGACCAACTGCACAGGAGCTGCATGCCCCAGCATCCCACAGACACTGATGGCTGCACTGCACTGGTTTTGGCTAGGACAGAGTTAATTTTCTTCTCAGTAGCTACTGCGGGGCTATGCTTTGGATTTGTGCTGGAAACATTGTTGATAACACAGGGATGTTTTAGTCTCTGCCGAGCAGCACTTACATAGCACTAAGGCCTTTTCGGCTTGCAACTTGGCAAACAAGGCTCATCCTAAATCTGTTTTCAGGGGTTCTTGTTCTAACAAACTGATACAAAACACATCACAGCAGTGTTAGGCCAGGAATGACATTGGCTTGACCCTATATTTCAAGCCACAAGTGGCATTGGCATAATCCTACAATTCAAGGAAGACACAGACTGTACAGGGTCCTAAGGAGGGCTGCAAAAATCATCAGTGGGCTGTAGAGCTTGTTCTGAGAGGAAAGGCTGAAGGAGTTTGCTCCTTTTTCCCCAGAGAAGAGAAGGCTGTGAGGGACCTCTCAGTACAGTCTTGCAGCTTTTAAAGGGGGGCTACAGAGAGGAAAAAGGGTCTCTTTTCACAAAGAGCTACAGTGAGAAGGGGCAGCAAGCACAAGTGCAGTAAGAGATGTTTTATCTTGACATAAGGATGAAACTTTTTACAGTGAAAACAATCACTCACTGGACAACCTCCCCAGGGAGGTGGCAGACGCCCCATCACTGGAGGTTTTCAGTATGCGATTAGACACTGTCCTAGATAATCTCATCTACATTGTCTCCTTCCCTCAGAAGGTTAGACCAGATGATCTGTGAGGTCCCTTCCAACCTGGTCTGTTCTATGCTTTTGTGATTTTTACTTTCTCATTTTTCTGAGAATTTACTAATTTTGTAAAGAGAGGCTTCTTGAGATTCAAACTTTGGAAATGAGCATCTTCTGGCTGCAAGTACCCTGGCACAACAGGCACACAGCAGGCTCACTCTCCACTCACCCCACTCGTTGTCACAGGTTTTAGGCTAAGGAATGGGAATGGTCATCAATCTCTAACCCCAGCCACTTGCCAAGGACTTGCTTGAGCAGGCGGCAGAGTGCTCAAAGTGGCACCAGTGGTGCATCTGGCCATCCCTGTGGGGCAGGAAGCCCACAGGAACAGGGATCCACAGCATCTCACTCTGCAGGAAAAACAGCCATCCATGAATGATCTGGATTTATTAATCCTAACTGCTTGGTTTGTGCTCAGCTAACTGCATGCTCCCTGCATATATCACACAGGTCATCACTAGCCCCATGCAACTGCATGGAGCAAGGCAGCAGGGGGATGACAAGCGGGGGTAGGATCCAGCCTGTCATTTCTACAGGCACGAAGACACTATTTTCTTCTGTGCCAAGAGGAGAGGAAATAGGCATTTCTGAAAAATGTTAATGAATTCATCACTTTACCATTCATATTATGCATGAATGTGTATGGCAGATATCTATATTTAGAAAGCAAGAGGGGAAAGATTGCTTGCTTGAGTAGATCTAAGCCATATATGTACGTGAAAACAAGCATAGGAGACTGGTCTGTAAATTGTGCTGATGCTGACACAGACTCAAGAAAAATCTCAAGTACACTAATTTCCAAAATTATTGGCCTTTTCTGGTAGAGAATAGGATTAAAGACACCCTTTGTTGCTCCTCCACACACACAGTCCTGCTTTGGAATTTGGAATCCTGGATGCAACCAGCGCACTTCAAACCCGAGCTTGTTCTATGAATAAAAAGTAGATTGGGGTGAAGCAAAGGAAACCTGCACACCCGAGGAAGAAGACAAGCAGCTTCAAGCACTACAGGCAACATGGGCAGCCAGCAGATACTGGCTTGGCCCCACCACTCACCAAAGAGAATTCAAAAGAAATAAATTATTAGTAAAATTGCAGCCTCGCCTTCTGCATTTCGAGTCTGTAGGAACCCTTGGGTCATGGTTTCAAATCTTACAAGATGGAGAACAAAGACATGTTTTTTTCTTTAACAGGAGCAGAAATTCTCACCTAACCACTTGTCCCTGGTTGTTGTGGCAGAGCAATATTCTACTAAAATCAGGACTGGCATCTGCCAAAGTGCTCAGTTTCTGATCTCTATTATATCACAGTCAAAATCAAGTAGCCCCAATCCAGGCAGAAACTACTGGACTGTGCTGTACCCATGTTGATGTTTTATCATCATAAAATGATGTAATGATGTTTTATGATGTTAAAAATGATGTAACAATATTTTATGTTCATTCACAGTAGGTTTTAATAAAATGTCAGCTGTAACTGACACAGAAAACCAGTTTCCGTGTAACACAGAAAACAGATGCCAATAGATCAGTGCTTGGCATACAGCCACAATCCAGATCATGGACAATAAGGCACCACTTGAAAGCTTAGTGGAACCTCACAAGCCATTTGGAGCAAGGCACAAGCCCTTTTTCTTTCTCCCTTGCTGTCACTGGAGCCTTCCAAACCCCAACTCTCCTCTCTGAAGGGAAAGGCTTTATTACATCCAGCTCTGACATGGTGCAAGGCACCCATCCAATGGTCAGGGACTTGCTCCTTTTCCCAGACCTCCTCATTCCTCTACAATGGTCACCAGAAGAGCAATTTTCATCCCTATAACTGATTCCAAGTGCCAGAGCAGTGGTGCCCAGCAGCCAGGATTTAAGAAGCCAGTTGAGAGCAACCTAGAATGAAGATCATCACCCTGCCAGGGGCGCGTCCCTGGGGAATGGCTCTTTACCCATATCTAGCCCAAACAAGCCACAAACCACAGCTGCTGCCCCATGTTTTGTGGCAGCCACTGCCAAGAAGAACTGACCTCATCATGCCTGTAGGTGCCTGCAGGCAGCTGCCAGCTGTGCTGTGCCCTCTGCTCTCGCCCTCCCAAAGCCAGGCCAGCCCCCTCAGCCCAGAATGCCAGGATGCAGTCCAGTCCACAGACATCATGCCTTCAATTGCCATGTATCTAGTGTCTCTTACAGCCATCTCTATAACACATGGGCATATTTCTGGCCCAGTTCAGTCCTTGCTAAATTGGGCAGCTGCTCCAGGCCTTCATTTCTGCATCTCTACCAACTCTCCTACATCTAAGGGACTGCCTGACACCAATTCATTTGTTTTTCCTTTACTTTGAGATAAGCATGCATTCCACTGTACAGAAGCAGATGTATTATCCTGGAGGTTACTGCACAGCAGTGCAATTCATTTGAAGATTCAGAACTATTCAAATGAATCAGTTGCTAAGATTAACACCAGACAGTCAGCCAGGACCCAGAGACAGTGGAGCAACACTTAAATATTTCCTGTTTCTGATGTGGCTTCAGTCTGGTTTTGAAAAGGATCTAAAGCAAACCACATAGGAAGCTCATTGCTGGGACATGAGAGGAAAGCCATGTTTTTAAAGCAGTAACAGCATCCCCAAGAAACAAATTTACAAAAACAGTCAGAGAAGATGGTTTTCTTACAGCCAAACTGTACTACTACTCTCATCTTCAGCAAAACACCGGAAGATGCCAGTTGTGAAAACACAGCTTGCTGTTATTGAGAGGCAACATCTCAAGGCAGAGCCCAGGTAATGAGTTTCTGCATCACACCCACTGGCCACCCAGGTAACATAATGTGGCTGCCCACAGCACAGCCCATGCTGCTGGCATGTATGACTCCTCTTCTACCACCCAAAAGCCACCCAGCCAAACAAAACCACAGAGCTGACCTTCAAAAATTTCTCTTTCAATCTGTACTCTACTGACCGAGTGGTTCAAAAGAGACTGAGGTGTTTCAAATATGGTCCAAAGTAATCACCTGAAATTAAAAAGTAAGGAGGCTTTACACTCTCCTATAACCCCCCCATAGTATGTAAGGGAAGTCCAGAAATTACAGGAGAAAAATTACATCAAGCCCACATCTGTCCTTCTGTATCACAGCTGTGCCAAAAAGGAGGATAAATACCTTATTCGACATTTAAAATATTTTCTCTGCCCTGCTGCTGCATAAAAACTTCAGGTCAAAAAAGGAAGAGAATTATTTAAGGGAAATAACAAAAGAACAGTAAAGCACTCCATGGCCTAGGGGGCAGCACAAAGGATGTGCCATGAATTGCCCAGGGTGCACCAATCAGTCCCCACAGTGGGTCACAGGAACACGCTCTCCAGGATGGACACCCCTCCATGAGCATCCTGGCCCATGAACCCTACTTTCTCCCCTAAGCACTAGCCCAACCATACAGCCATGCCACTCTCCCAAAGCTGGGAGGAAGATTTGAGTTTCCTTTGACACAGAAAAAAATAACTCGCATGTCTCACTTATTGGTTTAAGTGTAAAAATTGGACTCCTAACAATGTCACAAGGGATGCTTTTGGTACCTCCAACCGCACTGGGATTCTTTTGCAGCCACAGCTCC